CCTGCAGATTTTGAATATAGATTACATGACCTTAACTTTACACAGAAAATACCTGTTCACCTGATTGTCTCAACATTAATTAATTCATTTAACTAATATTTATGGAACACTTAATATATTCCAAACACTAGTTATGGAGAAAAAAGTGAGTAAAACTGAAAAGTTACAGCTTTTCTGTTTTAATTAGAAGATAAAAAATATATGAGTACACTCAAACAAATGTATAAATATGTGGCTAAGGATCATGGGAGCAAATGGAAGCAAATGAAGAAGAATATGATGTTTGAGAGTACTGGGTAGCCAAAGGAGGCTTCTTTGATAGGGCAGCATTTCACGAGATGCCTGAAGGAAGTAAGGTAGCAAGCCAGCACTGAAGGATAAAGAAAAAGCAAGGGCAAAGATGCCAACATAGCAACAAGTTTGCTGTATGTAAGGAATAGCAATGACCTAGGGTGAAGTGAGATGGAAGCTATTGGAAGTACAGACAGATAAGGGAGGGCCATGTGGGCCATGGTGAGGACTTTGGATTTGTTGTTTAGATTCATGGAGCTGCAATAGTTGGATTTTAGACTTCATTATGTTTGATTTAGATGACTAATATTCACTTAAAATTTCTCAAAAGACTACAGTATAATACCCCATTGAAGAGAGAGGTTATTCTGCATGTAGAGAAAAATTAAAATATGCCTGGAGACAAATGTTTACTCCAAGTGAAGAAAACATTTCTTTCAGGTAGAAAGATCACACTTTCTTTTTATTTATTTATTTATTTATTTATTTATTTATTTATTTATTTATTTTATTGATTATGCCATTACAGTTGTTCTATTCCCCCCTTCATTCCCCTCCACCCTACCCCACAACCCCACCATTATCCCCCCTTTAGTTTATGACCATGCGTCCCAAGTTCTTTAGATTCCATATTTCCCATACTATTCTTGCCCCCCCATCTATTTTCTATCTACTGTCTATGCTACTTATTTTCTGTACCTTCTCCCCCCTTCTCCTCCTCCCACTCCCTTGTTCATATTTTATTGTAAAGCAACCAGAGGGGAGGTGGGAGGGGATGGTGTGGGAAAAAGAGGGAAGGGCTCTCAGGAACATGTGCAAAGGACACATGGACAAAACCAAAGGGGGGTAGGGTCAGGGTTGGGGAGTGGGGATGGCTGGGGTGGGGGCAGTGGTGGGGGGAAGTGGAGACAATTATACTTGAACAACAATTAAAAAAAGAAACAGTATATTCATAAGTGTTTGAAGCTATATGTTGTTATATTGTTATATCACTGAAATACCAAGTCATGGACAATCATATGGCAACAATACAGTTAAAATGAGTAGATATGACCAAATCCCTCTGAAGGCATTTTGAACTTTCAAAGAGACTGACTCTTAAATTGAAGGATGATTACTCAGGCACTAAATGTCTATGTGTCAAAGTTTTCATCTGACTTTTAAGAGAGAATGCTAAACTTCTAGTTTTTGATAATTACATTTTAAAAAATATGACTTCAAACCTCACTCTCAAAAATGCAAAAGAGTTTACAAGAAGTAGCCTGTTTTGGTAAAATTAAGCCTAACTACCAAAGGCCAAAAATAGTTAAGAATTTTTAGATTCTTAACGTGAAGAAGACTTAATCTTACACTTTGAGATGCTGAAAAGTAACACGGTAGACATTGGTATAGCAAAATGTTTGCATTTTTTACTCACTTAAGAAATTGTAAATTTAAAGTAATATTCCTCATTTTATAAAGTTCATATTACATGGAGTTAAATATTGTAATTAAGGAGTTTCTTAAAATAGAGGTGTTTAGCATGAAGAAGTGAAAGCTAATAGAAGCACTTTTTTGCCTAAGGTCAGGTTCTTGCTTGTTGTTAAGCCGCAGTTTGAGCCCTGGCCAATCTGAGTCTAAAGCCTGTGACCCTTCCTGGATGAGTAAGAGACAAAATAAACATAGAACATTTGAAATTAAAAAATGAACGAGTTGTTTAATAATATCGGTAAATGGGCATTTTAATACAGAATTAGCGAGCTGAAAATGTACTAGTTAAGATCTGAGAAATACCCTTTTCAAGGGATAATGTGTAAATGCTCATTATTAATACTTCTAGTCAACAGTAAACTGTAGTTCCTAGACAGGGCTAATTACAAGAATCAATTGCTCTTCAATTTGCCAACAACTGGTAAATGTCATACAATTTACACACATATATACACACACAAACCTCCTTAGGAGTAGACATAATAAAAGGTATGTAAGAGCTTTATGGAGGAACGTTTTAAATTTAAAAAACCTTTAAAAAAACCTAAAAAGTTAAAAAAAAACTTTTAAAAAGCAAAAAAAGATATCATTTTCATGAATAGAAAGAGTCAATGTAATAAAGAAGAAAAATGTTTTTATAATACGATCTATTAGATTCAATAATATTCTCATCAAAATTCCAACAAGGTATTTTAAGAATCTTTACATGCTTAGAAAAAATTATATAAAAATAAGAACAAACAGATGAGGGTATTTTCCCAACCAATTATTAATGTCTACAAATCTGTACTAATGAAAACAGTAAAGTATTATCACAATATACACAAAATGTTCAATGAAGCAGAATAAAAATCCCAAATATAGACCTCTATAACACATAAAAACTTGATGTTTGAGAGATTGCCCCCTATGGGAAAAGGAACAATTAATTATCCAATAAATGGTGCTGCAACTATTGGTTAGCTATAGGATAAACCACAAATCTTAACTCCTGCATCATATAATAAACAGAACTCAATTCCACTTATAACGATTTTAGAAACAAAAGCATGTGTTCATGAACTAAAGGGGGGGATGGTGGGGGAGGGGTGTGCAGGGGGGAGGGGAACAGGGGGGAATAGAACAAATGTAATGGCATAATCAATAAAAAACATTAAAAATATTTAGAAGGAAGTATTACAGAATAGTATTATGGCATTTATATGGGAGAATTTCTTTTTTAGAAGTTACAAAAAGCACTAACGGGGAAAAAAGATTGATAAAGTACTCTGACATTTAGAACTTCCATTCATCAACAGAGATCATTAAGAGAGAGAAGTCATAACCTGGGGAAAACTACTGCAACACATGTATCTCTCAGAGGACTATTTTAAAATAAGTATATCTATAAATCAATATGAAGAAAATGATGAAAAAATAGGCAAAATACATGAAAAGGCATTTCACAGAAGAGGAAAACAGAATGGTGAAAAAACAAGAACAACTGATTGATCTCTTTAGTAATGAGGGAAATGCAAGTCCAGACCACAGCAAGAGGGCACGCAACGTCTGTTACTTTGGCTCAATCGTAAGAAGCCTGATGATAACATGTATTGGTAAAAATGTAGATGAATGGGAACTCACACACTGCCAGTGGGGAAACAATTTTTATTACCTGGTAAAGGCAACTACTCACAATTTCACTCACAATTTTACTCCTGGGTACTAAGTGTAAAGAATCTCTTCTCTCTCTCTCTCTCTCTCTCTCTCTCACACACACACACACACACACACACACACACACTTACCTGAATGTTCATGACAGAATTATGCATTATAACAAAAAGCCAGATACAACCTCAATGGTATAAAGTAAAAGATATATTCTGGGATATTCACAAAAGTGTTATATCATGCAACCATGAACACCTACACCAGGCAACTTGGAGGAATCTTAGAAATGCTTTGTTGAGTTAACAAAGCAACTGGCACACTACAAGCGCTACCATTCTTAATAAAGTCAAAAACCAGAAACGAATAAGAAAATAAATTCTTAGAAAACCCATGTAATACAAAATAATATATTTTGTGCAATGCACATCCAACTAATGTGCATATGAGCCTACAGGGGATTTCACTGAAATGCAGATTCTGATTCCGTAGATCTGGGGGGCAGGACCAAAGTTCTGCATTTCTAATGAGCTCCCCGGTGACACCGGTGCTGCAGGTCTGTGTAGAGGACTTAAGTTGCAAGGTTTTAGAGGATACATACTTCTCTGACATTTTATGAAGTGTTTAAAAATCAATTGCTATAAAATTCACAAAATTTAGGATCATTGTTACTTGCTGAGTGGGGAAGAAAAAGATGGCCAATGAGAGAAGGAAGAAGCTCACAGGTAGATGCAATGTACTGATAGCATTGTTGTTCATAAATAAGATGCTCTATAACCTATATGTGACAAAGATTATTTTGTATAGTATAATAAAAAAACATAAATACCCACAGGCATGGACCCACATTGTCATCAACAGAACAGATGAAACTGAGGGGGTTAGGAACAGGCCGTGAGTGGGCATGTGGTACAGACTACTCCATCTTTAGTAAAGAAAGCTGCAAGCCATTTGTAAACACTCTGTTTGTAATCTCCAAAATCAAGTCCCTGGACAAAGTTTTAAAGCTGTGACAGCATAAAAATGTAATTTCCCCTCCTTGGCATATGCATATCCATAATATTTACCTCTATATCTACTGTATTTGAAGAAAACTTCCTTGTGCGGGTCACGAAAGGCTGTAATAGTTCAAATATCAGCCATAATACAGTGTTCCTTATCATATATCATTTTAGCCATCAGCAAACATCACAGCAGGAATTAGTAACAACTAATAAGAACTCAGGGTAGTTGCCTAAAAATCAAGAAGTGGACTTAGCAGAAAAGAGAGCAGAATTAAAATAATTTAAAATAGAAGATGGATATTGACAGAAAAAAATGTTTTATCTTCTCCATATTCTCCAAACTGTTATGGCATATAAAAGACTGCAATGCTTCACTGAATCAGGCCACTCTTTAAGGTTTAACATCTCAAAGAGGTAAAAAGTGTAAGACAATAAAGTCCAAAATACCTGAATTTCATTGATAACTAACATGTTTGTAGTTTAATATGAGCCAAGCATAGTTCTGACTGGTGTTCAAGATTTAATTTATTATGATCACTATGGTACAGATAAAGAAACTGGGGTACAGAGAAGGTAGTAACTTGTCCAAGTTTACATAGGAAGCATGAGTAAAGCTAGGGTTACAATCCACACTGCCTACTGCAAGGCTTTTGCTCAAAATTGGTGTTCTCTGCAGTTTCAGTACCTGGTTCTCTATTAGCATGTCTTGTATCCATGGGCATTTCCAGATTCCTTGTGAATGAAATGAAACATTTGGTTAAGAAAGAGGATATATATAAGGATCAGACAGAACTAACTTGAATCCCCCAAAGTTGAGTGATTTGGGGATGAGTTTTGTAAATTTGTTAAGCCTGAGTTTCTTCATCTATAAAATAGGAAATGTGAGAAAATACACATGATAGGATTTTGTAAGAATTAAATAGAGTAATTCAAGCATTTAACCTGAGGTCTGGCATTGTTTTCACTTAATAGAATTTGCTGCTGCTGCTATTGTTGTTATTATTATGATGATTCTTATTAAATGAGATTATACCCAGGTCTGTCTTTACTCCAGATCTTGTGCAAGATACTGCAATTCCAAACACACACACACACACACAGAGAGATATTTTCTTTTTATTGCTTTTCCCCATCTCTATCCTCCTGCTTTTGGAAGCAATTAAGTAGAGAAACACAGTGAAAGAAACTCTAGCAAGAACCCAAATTTCAGGTGCCCAAAATAGAAACCTGCAATAGATAAGGGAAGGGGGAATTGCTCCCACTGTACAAGAACAAAGCCATTCTAGGATTGAGTGTTCAACTCTAAATTCATTAGCCTCCAAGAGGTCTGTAAATATTTTTAGATAATTACCCAAGACACTGAAATACATATCCTACTGTAGCTATGGTGATATTAATTGAAAGATGAATATGCTTAGCTCATTAAATGAAATAGTTTTTCCGAAATGATAACAGATGTATTATTTTTCAGCTGCATCACAATTGACCCTTGAGATCTAAAGAAAACAAGACTTCAAAGTGGCTCTGGACATTGAGGGAAGAGTAGCTTCATAATATGTCCTCACAGAATACATGTTCCATCCATGTGGGGCACAGGCACAAACTAACTGCAGCCCAGTTACTCACTTCCTTTTTGGATGTGTATGTATGTGTTACTTTATTTTCTTTATTTGTATTTTCACTTCTTTAGTTTTCTGTGTTTTGCTACATGGTCTTTTGTTCTTATTGTTCTACATTTTTCTTCCCCTGTCTATATTTAAAATACTAAATACTATATGATAATATGTAAACCTTTATTTCTTGATTCATAAACTTTAGAAAGTATTCATTAACTTCCTGCTGTGAAAACAAAAAACTATATATTTCTTTCCACCCATTCTCATCATTACCACCCAGTTTAAAACAATTTTTTCTTTCCTTTTGTGAATGCAAAAATTAATGAAATAGTACTTTAAAAACATTGGGAAAAGGTGCTGTTTATTTTGATAGAACTGTAAAAATTTCATGTAACTTGATCAATAGACTAGAAGAAAATAAGAACCTGGGAAAGGAAAATATATATAGAATTCATAAAGGTAGGCTCTCCAACATCTTGGTTTTTAATGTTTTTGTTTGCTTACTTGATCTTCTTAAGACTGGACACAAAATATAAGATTTTATCTATTTTAATCAGTGTGGTTTTGATGTAGTATTTGGAGGGAGGTGAAGAAGGATATAAACCATTCTCCTCAGCATGAGGCCACCATTTCAAAATAAATGGAAGATTCATAGTCTAATGTTACTGAGGAACTTTTCCCCTGGATCAGTGCAAGAAAAAGAGCATATTTTCTTCATGCATAAATAATGGAACAACATCTTCTGAACACACTGGAGTGTTTAGAAAGCTTTGTGGAGAATGCCACATGTAGATCCAGGAGGTGGACTAACTGACCAATCATAAACCATGCATTGGGCTTATTATCTCAGTTCTTTGATGTTGGTCAAGCAACCCATAAATGATGATGGTATTCAGTTAAAATGGTCAAGCCAGTAACCTTATTATATTGAAATAATATTCCTATGTTTAAAATTATGCCATTCAGCCCTGGCTGGTATAGCTCAGTGGATTGAGCACGGGCCTACAAACCGAAAGATCACAGTTCGATTCCCCATCAGGACACATGCCTGGGTTGCAGGCCAGGTCCCAGCAGGGGCCAGTTCCCAGCATGGGATGCACCAGAAGCAAGCGTACATTGATATTTCTCTCCTTCTCTCCTTCCCTTCCCTTCTAAAGATAAAGAAATAAAATTATTTTTAAAAAGTATGCCATTCATTGTCATTATTAAGAGACTGGGCAGCATATGCAGAAAGCACTGAGTTTCAGTTCCAGCTCTCAAAGTGTCAGGTTTTTTATCGATAACATAGGGGTGATAATAGAACCAAATTTTCAAACTTACCATAAGGATTAAATGAGATAACAGATCTAAAATACTCAGCACAGTACCTGGCGCATAAGTAATATATGTATATATGAGTATACACATGTGTACATTATTTTACATGTGTATACCTGTGTATATATGCACATACATTACATATAACTTATATGTAACTTAGAAAATGAGGAAAATTCAGACCCAAAACCCCTCACAGTGCTGTGCTAGGTGCTGAACTTTTAAGTTATGAGTTGCATCCCAGGAGTAGCAGGACTGTGCCTTTAAGCCAGCGATGAATATTTTAGCAACAAAAAGACCTGCTCTTTCTCAAAACTGAAACTAGTTCTGCCTTTTACTCTATTTTGTTTCTACTTTTATTTCTACTCCATATGTATTTTCTGGCATATGGATTAGAAGGAAGAAAACTAATATTTACTGAGGGTCTACTATGTGACTTACATTGTTCTAATGGGTATTTCGCTTGTGCTATAGCAATTGATACACACGGACTTTTTACCAGGTAGGTATTATTATTTCTACTTTACAGGTGAGAAAGGGGTATCCTCAATAAGGAGCCAAAATTTTATACAACTAGAAAATACTGGAACTCACATTCTAGCCCCTATTTATATACTTCCAAAGCCTTTTATGTTTTTAAAAGAAATTTACAGATCTAATATTTTGTCAGGCTCCTATCTATTTTTAGTGTGGAACCTATTTCTTGGGAAACTAGGCTAGCAAAACTAGTTAGCTTCATAAGCAGGAAAAGTGGTAGTTTTCTAAACCAGCCTGTTAATCCATAATAGGAATATCATACATTGCATTAGAAGAGGGGTTGGCAAACTATGGCTACAGGACAATCCAGCTTACCTCCTGGTTGTGTAAATCAAGTTTAATTGGGACACAGCTACATCCATTCATTTTCTTATTCTCTATGGAGGCTTTCACCCTGCAATGGCAGGGTTCAGTGGTTGTGACAGAGACTGCATAACCCACTAAGTCTAAAATACAGGGTGGGCAAAAGTAGGTTTACAGATGTGACTACCCAAAAGTTTCCTCTTGCATTATTATTTCTGAATTATCATATTATTTATTTGTATTACAACCATAAACCTACATTTGCCCACCTGTATTTGCTATCTGGGTCTTTATAGAGATAGTTTGCTGACTATTACAAATAAAAAATACTAGATGAAAAGTTATATAACAAACAAACCATCATTTCTCACATTATCTGTTTTACTCATTATGGACTGTAATTCCAGTAACTACATTATCCAAATAAGAAATATTGTCATTTTTACTGAGATAAATAATGTTACATTAGTGTCAGGTGTACAGCATAATGCTTTATTATTTGTATATATTATGAAATGCTAACCACTATAATTTTAGTTAAATTTTTTTCTTGCAGTGAGAAGTTTTAAGATGCAATCTCTTAGCAATTTTCAAATATACAATACATAATTATTTACTATAGTCAGCATGTTGTACAGTATACCCTCAGAATTATTTACTTTAAAATGGAAAATTTATACTTTTTGAACACCTTTATTTATTTTGCTCACTGCCACACCCCATATCTCTGGCAACCACCAATCTGTTCTGTGTATCTATATGATCAGGAAATAATTATTTTTAGTTAGAATTACTTCCCCAAATCTAGAATGTAGGATAACCATAGCTACAGAGATGCTCCAAAATATTCCCTAGAATTGCTTCTTTAGCTGAATGAGGAAGATTTGTATAATCAAGAATTCTACATGCATTTTTAAAAACCAATTCAGGAATCGAAACCAAGAATTAGGAAAGGAATTCAGGAGGCTTGGCTGAGAATTAGTTAAATCCATGATGTAGAAAATAATCAGTAAAAAATTTTCAATATAATACAAAGTGGTGGATTTTCCTGTATTTCTTTTTACCTACCTATACAATGATATTCATTATTTCATATTGTATTTTCATCTCACTTCACATTTGAGTATTATCTTTTTGTGTGCTGGTTCTTTTAAGTGAATTAATTGATTAGCACATCAAGTTATATAAATAAAAATTACCAAATACATTGAATTCAATATATTAATATCATCTTAGATAATTTCTTCCCTGTGATTTCTCATATCCAAACATTTCTAAGTCTTATTAATTCTTCCTTTACTAAATCCCTTACAGGCATCCCTTCTTTTCCATTCCTACTTCCAAAATTATAGTATAAATTTTTACCACTTCACTCCTGGATTATTATGGCATGTTTCTAATTTAGTATTATTCAAAATGTGGCCTGAAAACCACTTAAATCAGAATCACATAGTCCTTTTTAGAATGGAAATTAAGAACCCTCTCCAGACTTAATCAGAACTCCAGAATAGGGCCCAGGAATCTGCAATTTTGACAAGATTCCTTGATGGATTCTTGAGCACATTATAGTTTAAGAACCAGTGTTGAAACTGCTTTCTCACTTTTCCTCTCTCCCAAGTTCCAAGAACTTATGCACATTTCTATCAGATTAATCATTTCAACACACTGTCCTGCGTCTTCATCATTCTCAGAATGAAGTCCAAATGTCTTAACCTGGTGATCAAGGACCTGCACAATATGGTCCTTTATAGTTTCCCACTTTCTCCCAAAGATAACAAGCTAATTCCTAGTTTCATGTATTCAATTCAATTTTGAATCTCTCCATCCCCCTAACTTGGAACAGCCTCCACTTTCCCACTCTAGCCTATTTGTAATTCAACCCAAAAGCCAAGCCATTTCAGGTTTTTCCACAGTGACGTCTTTGATCTTTCCCTTTTATGAATTAATAGCATTGGTTGT